AGTACGAAAAACTCAACTCTTTCTTTCGTAGCATAGGCATTCAACATCATGTGTCTTGTCCTCATGCTCATCAACAAAACGGCTCTGCCGAGCGCAAACATCGTCACATTGTTGAAGTTGGCCTTTCTCTACTTGCTCATGCATCCATGCCTCCTAAATATTGGGATGAAGCGTTTATCACAACAACATATCTTGTTAATCGTCTTCCAAGTAAAGTTATTGGCAACTCGACACCTTTGGAATGTCTCTATCATCAAACACCAGACTACAACTCCCTAAATTTTTTTGGGTGTGCTTGCTACCCCAACTTACGTCCGTATAATCATCACAAACTTGATTTTCGTTCCACTCAATGTGTTTTTCTTGGCTACAGTAACCTACACAAGGGATACAAGTGCCTAGAAATTTCCACCGGACGTATATATATCTCTCGAGATGTAGTTTTTGATGAAACTCTTTTTCCTTTTGCCAAGCTTCATCCCAACGCAGGTGCTCTCCTCCGTGCTCAAATAGCACTTCTTCCGGATCTTGACAACTTACCTGATCACGGGGGTGAATTATCTAATGCTGACCGTGTGAACAAATCTGCAGAAAATTGCAACTCTAATGATATTTGTACAAATGTAGTTCATGATTTTATGTGGCCAGAAACAGACAAGGCAGCCGGCGCTGATCGCGAGGAGGATTCAGGTAACAGGCGATCTGTCTCGCGATCCCAGGCGGATCCTGGCGCCAGCACTAGCGCAATCATTGGCGCTCGATCCGAGGCGGATTCCGCCCAGCATGCGGCGGCGCGCGTGGAGACAGACAACGACCGCGTGGAGCCCACCAGCTCAGGCGGGGCCGGGAGCGAATCTCCGCGCGCCACGAGCCCGCAGCCCGCGGAGGTGGCCGACCGGGCGACCGCGGCTGGGCCCAGCCCACGGGCCCCGATGCGCACGCCCACCCGCGAAGAACCGTCAGGCGACATGCGGCCTGATTCGGCTGGTGGACCGATCCCGAGGTGGATCTCGCCCGCAGAAGATCTGGCGCGTGATCCCGTGCGCACTGAGTATGTCCAGGACGCTGGATCTTCTGTGGCTGCCTCCTCTGCTGCACAAATTGTTCCCCGGCGGCATACACGGTCACAATCAGGTATTGTCAAGGCAAAAGAATACAAAGATGGTACCATTAGGTATGATAAAAAACGTGCTTTTCTCACTACTACTGGTGAACCAGTTAATCTCGTTGATGCTCTTGCTCACAAAGATTGGAAGGAGGCTATGGATAGTGAGTATGATGCACTTATGAAAAATAAAACATGGCACCTAGTACCATCAAAAAGTGGAATGAATATCATTGACTGTAAATGGGTGTATAAGATAAAAAGAAAGTCAGATGGAAGTATAGATAGGTACAAGGCCAGATTAGTTGCCAAAGGTTTTAAGCAAATGTTTGGAATTGATTATGAGGATACTTTTAGTCCAGTTGTCAAATCAGCCACCATTCGACTTGTCTTGTCTATTGCTGTTTCCAGAGGTTGGAGCCTAAGACAGCTAGATGTTCAGAACACGTTTCTTTATGGTGTTCTTGAGGAAGAGGTATACATGCGGCAGCCACCAGGTTATGAAAACAAAGGTACACCACATTATGTTTGTAAATTGGATAAAGCTCTATATGGTTTAAAACAAGCCCCAAGAGCTTGGTATTCTCGGTTGAGCATGCAACTACAACAACTTGGATTTGTACCATCCAAGGCAGACACATCATTGTTCTTTTACAATAAAGGAAATATCACTATCTTTGTGTTAGTTTATGTTGATGATATAATTGTTGCTAGCTCAAGTTCAAGTGCCACCACTTGCTTGCTCAAAGATCTTAAGTTAGAGTTTGCCCTCAAAGACTTGGGAGATCTTCATTATTTTCTTGGAATTGAGGTCAAACAAATAAGAGATGGTATACTCTTGACACAGGAAAAATACACATCTGATATACTCAGAAGAGTAGGTTTGGGAAAATGTAAACATGTGAGTACATCGATCTCAACTTCTGAAAAACTTTCTGTTGGAAGTGGAGAGCCACTTGGATCAGAGGATGCAACAAATTACAGAAGTGTTGTAGGTGCCTTGCAATATTTGACACTCACACGTCCTGATATTTCTTATGCTGTCAACAAGGTGTGTCAGTATTTGCATGCTCCTAGTACTACTCATTGGACTGCAGTCAAAAGAATTTTGAGGTACCTTAAGTTTTCAGAGGGACTTGGACTTCAAATTACCAAGTCTTCTTCTATGCTTGTTACTGCCTACTCTGATGCAGACTGGGCAGGATGTATTGATGATAGAAGGTCAACTGGTGGATTTGCTGTATTTCTGGAATCCAATCTTGTTTCCTGGAGTGCAAGAAAGCAGGCTACAGTTTCTAGGTCGAGTACTGAAGCTGAATACAAAGCTTTGGCAAATGCCACAGCTGAGGTAATGTGGATACAAACATTACTTTATGAACTTGGGATTGAGACTCCAAGGGCTGCCAGACTATGGTATGATAACATTGGTGCAACCTATCTGTCAGCTAATCCTGTTTTTCATGCACGCACAAAGCATATTGAAGTGGATTTCCACTTTGTCAGAGAAAGAGTAGCTAGGAAGCTACTCGAGATTCAGTTCATTCCTACCGGAGATCAACTGGCTGATGGGTTTACAAAACCCCTCACAATGAGGAAGTTAGAAGAGTTCAAGTTCAATCTCAACCTTGGTCGAAGTCCATGAGGTTTAGATTGAGGGGGAGTGTTAGAATATGTATAGGATAGAGATCATTCAAATTGTAATCTATCCCTATCTCTCTTTCTTCCTCTCCTCGGTAACCTCCTGTACCAAACCGATTGATCTTCTGATCGATCTCTCCTTCTTGTACTCCAAGGCTTTGCCTCTATATATAAACATGCGGCCCGAGACAAAGGGTTTAACGCTTCCAACCTAATTTACAGTCTCGTCAATGGACAATGGGGAAGAAGGTCATGGGTGATGTAGGATAAGATGTTTATTGATTTTTTTAACCAAAACAAAGTTCTCTGTAAACACGTTTTTCACAAAACGAATAGGAAAACCAGTTTTCCTAGAAATCAGCTAAAAACTCGTTTTTTATAATCCCATCACTAATCCTCATTATCCAAACAACGCCTAAGGCAGCCTGGTTTTGCTCACCTTGGTTTATTAAAACGGAAATCTTGCTGCTGTTAACCATTCTATTCCTATCATGATCCAAACTTTGCTTAACTCTGGCCATCCACAAATTAATCCTTCTAACTTGTATACTTTTCTGTGGTGCCTATGGAAATCTCGAAATGATGCTCTCTTTGTTAGGAAATTTTGAAGGCCCTCTCAGGTGTATGCAGCGGCAAACACAATCATACAAGGAACCAAATTAGGAGAAATCCCTGCTGAAGCTCATGCTATGCATTGCTTATAGGAACAACTGGTGCAGCCGACAATACAAAATCCACACTCTTTTTCAGGCAACACAATTTTTTGTGATGCTGCGTGGGAAATACGTCCAGCTCACACTCCTAAACAGGCAGGAAGTGAAGTCTTCATTCAGGTTCAGAATAATGATCGAATCCATTAACTTCACATTGCAGCTATGTCTCCTATGGCTTCTTCTCCTCTACAAGCTGAGACTTTTGGTCTCATGCTTGCAACCAAGCTGGCGGAAATATTCAATGTTTAGGATCCACATTTCTTTACGGATTGTTCAGTGCTAGTTTCGGCAGCAAAATCAACGGATAGAAAACAATACTTCTTTTCAGAGTGGCAAAGTTGCTCACATTAGCAGGGGAAACAATGTCAAAGGCGCATCATCTTGCACGCCTAGCTTTGAAAGTTAAAAACAGCCGTGTACTGTTTCGTTGCTTATGTCTTGATGCAGGACTTTGTTCAACTAGGGATTCGCTCTCTATATCCAGCGTGCTTCCTTTCACGCTTGTCTCTGTAAAATGCTCCTAAGTTAATAAAATCTTTATGTTCAAAAAAAAAACCAAGCCTCCCTGGTCCTTCGGCCTACAGATCACGTCCCATTTTGCCAATCTATATTTAACCTTGTTTTCATCAATTTGCCAAAAGAATCTAGATCTATAAAAGTCCAATCTTTTGCGCACCCCAACCGGGACTTCAAAGAAGGAAAGAAGAAACATTGGCATACTTGTGAGTACCGAATTAATGAGAATCAATCTTCCTCCATATGACAAGAGTTTGCCCTTCCAGCAACTCAGCTTCTTTTCAAACCGATCCTCAATACACTTTCATTCTTTATTCGTGAGCTTGCGGTTGTGAATTGGAATCCCTAAGGGTAACGAGCCAAATTCACACCCAAATAGTTGCTTGTAATTTTCTTGTTCTTCTTTGGCACTAGAGTTGGAGCTCAATGACACCATTTATGAATTCTGCGACAGAAGATGGAGTACCGTGACTAAAGCAGGGCAGGTCAACTCCTTTCTTCATCTCTAAGTATTGCAAAGTGTTTGATCAGCGGTACTAGAACAAGGGTAAAGGACTCCCAGAAAAAGCTCGACAAGTTGTGGCTGAGATAGAGAGGATGCTGAATCTTAAGGGCCTTAATTTTGATCAGGTGCAGATCGGCAAGCAGCACATGCCAGAGAAGACTTCACTGATCAGCGAGCCGGTGGTGTTTGGACAGGACGACGAATGATCAAGTTAGGGCTTGCCACTCACCAAGCATAGATCTACCAAGCGCCTGAAAGGAAAGAATGTTACTGTATTTTTACAGTGGTGTTGCTGTTTTCAGCGTCCTTGTATCCAACCATAGGTGTGTGTGTGTTTGTATCGGCTGGAAAATTTGTGAGCTGCAGAGTTTGAATCAGCTCAGTGGATCGCTTTATATAGTATATACACGGCATTCGCTGCAGCTCGACTTGTTGACATACAGCACGCGCGCTTTGTATATAAATACAGCTCTATACCTTCCGTACATATCAGCTGCAGTCTATTTTTCTTGCATCGTCAACAATGGCGCCCGCGACGGTGACGGAGACATCCATAATCCTTCCACCACACTTTGTTCTCGTCCCGCTTATTGGGCACGGCCACACCATCCCCATGTCGGACCTTGCCTGCCTCCTCGCGGGACGCGGTGCGAGAGTGAGCCTCGTCACCACGCCCGTCAACGCGGCGCGCCTGGGGGGACTAGCCGACAGGGCGCGGCACGCCATGCTGTCCCTGGAGATAGTCGAGCTCCCATTCCTGCTGGCCGATGATGGACTGCCCACTGGCAGCACCGCCAGCGTTGACAGCTTCCTCCGGTTGTTCCTCGGCCTTTACAGGCTCGCCGGGCCGCTCGAGGCCTATGTGCGTGCGCTGCCGCGGCGCCCAAGCTGCATCATCTCCGACGCCTGCAATCCGTGGACGGCCGGCGTCGCAAGGAGCGTTGGGGTCCCGCGGCTCTTCTTCCACGTGCCTTCCGTCTTCTACTCGCTCTGCGACCTGAACGTCGCAACGTGTGGCCAAGGCGACCATGGCGCATCGTATGTCGTGCCGGGCATGCCGGTGCGCGTAGAGATGGCGAAGGAGACATGGTCGTCGTCCTTCTATACCACGCCTGAGTGGAAGCAGTTCACAAAGGAGGCGCGGGAGGCCATGCGCACGGCCGACGGTGCCGTGATGAACACCTTCCTAGGCCTCGAGCAACAGTTCATCACGTCCTATGAGGCGGCACTGGGCAAGCCGGTGTGGGCGCTCGGGCCCTTCTGCCTCGGTAACCGGCGGGAGAAGGAGGCCGTCAACCAGAGCCCGGTCACCGCCTGGCTCGACAAGATGGACGAGAACACGGTCATTTATGTCAATTTCGGCAGCCTCGTGCGGATGCCTCCCAAACAGCTGTACGAGGTCGGACAAGGCCTCGAGGACTCTGGGAAGCCATTCCTTTGGGTGGTGAAGGAGTCCGAGACGGCGTTGCCAGAAGCGCAAGAGTGGCTCCAAGCCCTGGAGGCACGAACGGCAGGGCAGGGGCTCATATTGCGTGGCTGGGCGCCTCAACTCGCCATCATGTCGCACCGTGCTGTAGGCGGCTTCATGACCCACTGTGGGTGGAACTCCCTACTAGAGTCCATTGCGCACGGCGTGCCTGTCGTGACGTGGCCTCACTTCAGCGACCAGTTCGTCAACGAGAGGCTGGTCGTGGAAGTACTTGGGGTCGGCGTGTCCTTAATGCCGTTCGGTAAGGATACGGCCGTGGTGCGGGGGCACATTGCGCAAGCGGTGTCGGAGCTGATGGGCGATGGGGCGGTGGCAGAGGAGAGGAGGAGAAAGTGCAAGGATTATGGGGAGAGAGCTCATACAGCCGTAGCGAAAGGAGGATCGTCCCATGAAAACCTAACGCGGCTATTACAGAATTTCATGCCGAGTGGCAGCAAGGAACTGTAGATTATCCAACACACGGTTCCATCATTTTGTAGCATGTAAACCATGCATTGTGAGTTATGTTCGCGACTTGGCTGTTATTTCAGCTTTCACCTAGGTTGGCTCGTCGCCGTGATTTCTTCATGGGATGGCATGACCGCATGAACAAACGGTATCATATGGCGGTGTCAATGGCCAGTGGGAAGGCGCAGACCATAACTCGGCCCTGAATAATAGGCTGTTTTCAATTAGACTTTAAGAGTAACCAGAAGTACACCCGCTCATTGTATGACAGATACTATACATTATGTCTTCAAAAGAAATATGTAAAATTCAGTTGATCATACTCGAGATACTAAATTTAATAGACATGAGATGAGTGTGTATTGTATATTATTAATGTTAACAATTGGATTGTGTAAGTAAGGCTGCTCACAATGGAGAGTAACTTACACTAGTAGTAACATACATACGTTACCGGGTTATCTTACCACCTCTATAGTGGGTAGTTACACATGTGTAGTTTCAGACAACACTCTATTTATTATGGTGTAGACTCATTTTGACTTGATACGTGTGATGTTATGCTAACATATTATGTTACCACAATCTTCTCTTTCCTCGTTAATTAAGTGCCACATCATCTATTTTGTATAGGTATATGTGACGTTACCAATCATATGTTACTCACGCTATGATGATTAACAAATATAAGTGGAGATGACAAGGACAATAAAAATTACATAGTGAGGTATGGATTTAGTACGACGAATACTAGAAATAATAAAAATTACATCCAAATCCGTTGAACACCTAGCAATGACTATAAGCACTGGAGCGGGCCGAAGAGCAAAGTATGTTTGGACTACAGAAACTCGAGTTCAGTAATATTTCACAGTGATTAATACGTGGATTCATAGTGAGGTATGAATTGAGTCATTACTGTGAACAACAAAGGATAGTGGATGGTGCTGAAGTCCAAAGTATAAAGGAAAGTCACACAAACAGAGACCGTTGTCGTAATGCATGTGGTTGATATTAACACTATACAATTTATTTATTTTCGAAATGGGGGTATAACCCGGCCTTAGCATCTGTTGCACAGAGACCTTTTATTGCATCGTTTAGTAGTATCGGGATTACACCAATAAAGCAATTAGGCACCCCGTAGTTGTCTAATATGCTGATACCTAGCCCGGTAGAATATATCCCGTAGACTAACAGTATATTTCCATCCACAATAAGGTTTGTCATTCACAAAATGATCACATATCAGTTTGGGACAGGCCACATGAACAAAACAATTAATTTGAGTCGGACGTTACTTATATTTGAAGAGATCTATGAGGATCGGAGTAAGTACAAAAATTATGTCCGTAGGTCATGAGCCTGACAGATACGACTATAAAACGAGAAAGTGGCCGATCAAGCATATTTAGGGGTCCATTAATTAACAAGAAAGTGGTTGGTCGGGCATTTTTAGGAGTGTGTAGCCTACCCCCGCTACATTACAGAGATCCTAGATCGATGACCCATGATAGAAGGTTTATTTACACTCAAGCCTGACACAATGAAGGGTACTAAACAAGCATGTGTCTGGTCAGGCATATTTACAAGTTCGTACAAATTATGTTTAAACCTGCCCTGGGTGCACAGATCAAACATGACAGAAGCTTTTCCCGCAAAAAAAAACATGACAGAAGCTTGTTCAATTTTTTTTTTGAAAGAAGACAGAAGGTTTAAAAACAAAGATGCATGCACAGATGATAGAAGCGAAATTTTGATTAACCACAAACCTGACACAGTGCAACTTGTCAAATGAGCATGTCGCCTGTCCACCGGTGCTTGCATGCAAAGATGGATAAGGCCGGAAGTTTAATTTCGTACAAGTATACCCCAGAAGTGGTACCTTTTTTTTCTTTTTCCTCATGGTCGAACTCGTGGTACCTGCACGCGCGCGTGAACCAAAAAAATTCACGCGCCTCTCTCCACGCGTCTATGTATGGCGGTCAAGCTAGCCTGACATCATGTATGCTCGTATACCAAAGTCAAGGGTGCACGCAGCGTGCGCACGTGTGTGCTTGTTGTGGTTGCGTGCAGGTACTTGTCGTTTCTTCTTTTCTTTCCTTCTTTTTTTGATTGTTAGATGATTTGATTTGAGAGGACTTTGCATTGCTATAGATCCATGCCTACGTGATTTGAGGAGATGTTTGAATTAGCGGCGAGCCATGGAGGCGAATATGGCCTCCGTTTCGGCACCCAACGTCGCACGGACGAGGCGCCACATAAACCGTTCCTGTGGTACAGCCAGGGTTGCACCATGCGGTGGTCACCGCTTCCGCGCGAGGCTGCGGCCGGTCACACGCCGAGAACCATCACCCCTTGATCCGAGCGCCATTTAGCAATGGATTACTGCCGGCTCGCTGAAGACCGTGGGACGGGCACACTCCTTCGGGGAGCGTCGAAGAGCAACGTGGACGACCATCTTCTCCTCAGGGCTACAAGGGATGACCTCCTAAGCCACCGATCCGGACATTTCAGAGTTGGATCCAATGGCCGCGTGACTCCGTTGTATTTTGCCGCCAAAATGTTTTGGATCTAGCCCAAATTTTGTGTCGATTCAGATTTTGCTCCCCGATTAGGCCCAAACTCTAGAAATATTTTGGGATCGTACCCGATCATGAGTTCTAATGAAAATAAAAAACCCTAACCTATTATCCGCGTTGGGTCCCATGCAATATTCCTGAATATTTTATGTCCAACTCCCTCTCGTGTTCCTGTCTGAATTCCGTGCCTAAATCTTTTCGGGTTTGACTCTAGTCCCCTTTCATGCCCACGCCTTGGCCTACAGCTGGGCGGCGGCAGACGAGAGGAGGATAAAGTGCATGGATTACAGGGAGAGAGCTCATGCAGCCGTAGCGGAAGGAGGATCATCGCATGAAAACCTGACATGGCTATTACGAGCTTCATGCCGAGTGGCAACAAGGAACTATATAGATTATCCAATGTTTGGTTTCATCATTTTGTATCATATAAGCCATGTATTGTGAGTTATGTCCACCACTTGGCTGTTATTTCAGCTTTCACCTAGGCTGGCACATCGTCGTTATGCCCTCAAGAATAGGTTGTTTTCAGTTAACTTTAAAGTAACCGGAAGGATACCCGCTCATTGCAGAGAGATCCCTTAAGAAACTATATTGCGTAAACAAATGGGTATGAGAGGTATGCATGCTATATTATGTTGTCTAAATAAATATGCAAAATCCAGTTCATCATATTCGAGATACTAAATTTAATAGAGATGCGATGAGTGTGTATTTTAAATTATTAATGTGAGCAATTGGATTCTTTAAGTAAGGCTGCTCACAATGGATAGTAACATAGACTGTTAACATGGATATATTACCGGCTGTCCTACCACCTCTATAGTAGTAATGTATGAGTAGTGTTATATAACTAGGGTCGCTAAAGTGAGCCAGAGCGCATTGTAGTTTATCGTACACTCTAACCCACCGAGCGCACCCAGGTGCCCGTTTAGTTATGTCATTCTCTAATTAACCTCATCACGCCATGCAAATGGTAAATTTTTTTGTTCGGTTACTTTATTTATCAAGTTTTTTACTGGGGTCCAAAACGAGAATGCAGGGAGGAGGGAGTTGCATGCTTATGGTAAATCTTTTAGTTTTGTTACTATGTTTAGCAGTTTTTTACTAGCATAGGAAACGAAAAGGACGGTGCATGCAGATGGTAACACAGTTACTATATTTCATGTTTTTTTACAACCATGAGGTTTGAAAATGAAAAGCAGGGAATGCTGCATTTTGATAGTAACCTTTTTAGTAACCAAATTTTCTTTCATTTTACTCCCAATAATTAGTGACTTCGGAAGCAGGGCATACATGGACCAGCGCATACAGTGGTAACCAAATTAATCCTGTTACTATTTGTTCAAGCAATTTCACCCTCAAGTAACTAATTAGCGGGTCGTATCGTGGGCCAGCACATACTATGGTAACAAAATTAATTCCGTTACTTTTTCTTCACCCAGTTTTACCCTCAACTAACTAATTAGCAGGGAGAAGTGGAGCGACCCGCCAGCCTAATTAGGCCAGTGCATACGATTAACTATTCTGCGCGCTCGCTTACTTTAGTGCTACCGACTCTATTTATTATGGAACGGACTCGTTTAGACTTGGTAGGTGTGATGTTACGGTAACATATTAATGTATAACACACTTCTCTTTCCTCGTTAATTAAGTGCCACATCATCCATTTTGCCAAGGTATACGTGATGTTACCAATCCTGTTACTCCCACTGTGATGCTGATAAATATAAGTGGAGATGACTTGGACAATAAAAATTACATAGCGAGGTTGAATTGAGTACAACAAACACTAAATACTAAAAATTACATCTAGATCATAGAACACCTATAGATGACGATAAGCATGGAGCGATCAGAAGAACATAGGTATGTTTGGACTACAGAAACTCGAGTTTAGTAAATATTACACAGGTCCAAACACAATTGATTAAGACATGGATTCATAGTGAGGTATGAATTGAGTCATTATGGTGAACAACAAAGGATAGTGGATGGTGCTGAAGACCAAAGTATAGAGGAAAGTCACACAAACAGAGAGCGTTACCGTCAAGCATATTGTTGATATTAACACTATATCCTTTATTTATTTTTCAGAAATGGGGATACAAGCCGGCCTTCACATCTGTTGCACAAAGACCTTTTATTGAATCGTTTAGTAGTATTGGGATTACACTAATCACATATGACATGAGATTGAAACATGAATCAACCAACGAAAAAATGACGTCATAAAGCAATTAGGCACCCCCGTAGTTATCTAATATGCTGCCACCTAGCCCGGCAAAATATATCCCGTAGACTAACAGTATATTTCCATCCACAATAAGGTTTGTCATTCACAAGATGATCACATATTGGATTGGGACAAGCCACATGAACAAAACAATTAATTTGAGTCGGATGTTACTTATATTTGTAGAGAACTTTCAGGATCAGAGAAAGTATAAAAATCATGTCCGTAGCTCACGAGCCTGACAGATACGACTACAAAACGATAAAGTGGCCGGTCAAGAATATTTAGGAGTCCGTTAATTAACGAGAAAGGGGCTGGTCGGGCAT